AGAACGCAATGTGGCCGGTGGGTATTTTGAGTTTCAGAGATACGCGTTGATCTGTACTTATGCACCTAGCTACGAATTCTACATCTGCAAAGAAAGTAACCACTCTGGTGGACCGTATACTCATGATCACAAAAGTATGTTTTCTAAGGAGTTGTCATTGTACTGCAGACTGACTACATATGACGGTACATTGGTGGGTTTTTTAACACCTCATGACGACGGCAGGTAGATCGTTGCTGCGTCTCTCGGTCACCCTAATTTCGCCTCTTATTTTAGAAATTTCGTTCTTCTTTTCCCCTCCACCTCAGCACCCTTACATCCCCGTCGATTACAACACTTGTTTGCTTTATTACTTTTCAGGCGCAACCAAAAGATAGAAAGTTTTTCACTCAACTACCGCTACGCTCTGCAGGTGCCGGACAGTCTGACCTACTATCCGCTTGAGGTCAAGTTCGCCGACCGTATATCATCTGCTTTCAACTGGAGTTACCTAGACAACCTCGTTTGTACTCGTGGTATAAATGATTCCTACGGTCTCGTCTCGGTTCGTCTTCCTTTTTTCCAGTTCCCTTTTTTTGTTGGTGTTTTGCGTTTCAAAATATTGTGTTACAGGTTTTATGCAGGATTCCTTACTAGGCACTCGCCATAATTTCCTCATTAGGCAAATGAGTAGGCCTTCACAAATGTTTGCTAAGTACAGTGGGTGCGGAGAGGCGTGTTGACAACACGGCACTTTCTGCGTAACCCTTGAAGAGTGTTATGCTGGTTTCCTTATTGAATCCATTGAGGTTTCAACCCTACAGCAGCATATTCTTGGCCAAGCTTTTTCTTACCCTTCTCCAACGGTGTATTTTAAACTTTTAAATTTGAGCCTGGGCCTAACTATTAGTTCCAATACGATGTTTGATATTTCGTTTAGTAATTTATTCAGGCCTCCCATACATTGTGTTCAGTCTTGCTATCACGTGATTCGGAGAAGAGTCGTCTGCTCCCCCCCCTC